ATCTGCTATACATATCACAAGGCACCGAATCAGGCGGTAATGCATCTAATTCTAATTTGTCGTGACGGCTGGATTTAGTGCTACAGTCACCTGGGCCTAGTCATGGTCCATGGTTCTGCATTGAATGATCTTGGAAGCACTTGCAACACACGTGTTTGCCTTTCATGCACGATTCACCCGGCTTGGCTTGGCTACATCCTCCTAGGTTGTAGCTATAACAGATCGATTCGCCGTCTGGCGTTTCAGCCACTCCTCCTTTATCAGCTATGGCTGCTGGGATCTTGTAAAATTTGGACCCAGACTTGTTTTTTCCTTTGCTTTTTCCTTTGCCCTTGGATTTTCCTTTGCCGTCTTTATCGAACTGCGGTTTGTACACCGGTTGAGGCTTTGGCTTTGGCTTTTCTCTTGCTGGCAGTGGAATCAGCGTGAACGAGACTTGATATGACTCTAGGGCTTCAATCAAGGCCTTGTCCATGGGGCATGCACCTGTATCATTCCTCTTGGGTTTGATGCCGTTTTCGATCATCTTCTGGAAAACCATCTTGTCTGCTTGCACCAACTGCGAAACTGTACATCTAGAAAAATTTTTCGGCGGCTCCCTATGCAAGTGCGAAAACAGCTGCGTCAGGTACCTGTCGTAGCGTCGGAAAGACACTGCATCTGCGAATGTGTAAGCTAATCCTCTCCTTTTCAAAGCCTCCAACACTTGCAATGCTGATGTTGCAGTTTCGTCCGGGATGTTTGCTGACTCCTTGACTACCAATCGTTCTGATTCCAAGGCCACTTGTTTGGTCGGTGTTTTACCGCATGTCACTTCATGTACCCTACTGGTGCAACGCTCTGGCGCAATGTAGGTCTGGTTTACTTCTCTCTGATGCACGCAAAGCTGTAGCAGGGAGTGGCTTGGCTCCAGTGGGCCCTCTATGAGGATTCCAGTCAATGACGCTTTCAATCCGGCAAGTCTCTCTTCTCTCTCTGCATCTGGAATCTTCTTCCCATGGGGTTGGTCCACTCCAGTGACTTGTTCTCTCAATGAGGCCAATACCAAAGTCTGGCTCTCGAACAACAATCTTTTCATGGATGCAGATTCTCCTAGGGAAGGCGCTGCACCGAGAACATTGTTCAGCCATTCTGAGAATTTCGCCTCATCTATGGCCTGGCCTGGTTGACCGTGAGAGTATGCCAAGGTTCCCATGGCCTCCACCCCTGCCAACTCTAATGCTCTCAAGCATTGTCTGCTCACTCCTATCTCCTTTGCGCGGGAGGCGAAGTGGGCTTTCGATTCAGTCAGAGAGGTCATTGCAATGAAACCGGGCGGTTGAAAAGAAAATCTAATTAATTCTGCATGACCTCGTGGCTACAAACACATCATGATTTATATGCATTACATTCTTCATTAAAAACAAAAACTGAAGAAATCTGGATTGACATGTACGACACTTCACTCCAGAGCTACTTAGCTCATGCTTTCCATCTTGAGCCCATTCATGACTCGTTCACGCACATCGACATCAGCGCACGCCACATGCGTGCATCTCAGAACAAGGTGTACGAGTTCTGAGCTACGGTGCCACATGCAACCACAAGACTTGTTACACAAGCGCAACTTCATCTACTTAGATGACAACTTGTCAGTTCATGCTGATTCCTGAAAACAAATCACATGCTCATGGCACAGTGACTCTCCGAGACAAGAACCTATGCGGACCTTTTTTCCACTGCCTGCGCCTGCAAAGCGTGCACTTCACATGTTCCATGTCTGGCAACGAAGCAACCTGATAACTGCCGGTTATTGGCCTACCACACGCAAAATTGTCCAATGGCACACAAGTGCTGATGCTCCGGTCATACAAGTGCAAAATGCATGACTTTTTATGGATGTACCACATTCGGCTGTCCTTGGCTGCATGTTGATTCATCTTTCTCTGTTTGGACGGAGGCTCTTCTGGCTCAGTCTCTGAACTACTGCTCGACTCCGAGCTCGACGACGTGTCGCTACATTCGATGACCCCATCAATCTGCAGGGAGTCTTCAGTCTTGATCAGATCCACTGTTTCTGGAACTGTTTCCTGAACAACCGGGCATTCTGGGAAATATCCGCTACGAAAGGCATCTGGACAAAAGACCCCTCTACTTATGTCCATGATTATTTCTTGCAATCTTCTGGTGGGACCAATGGCTAGGTCTCGCGCATAGAAAGAAGAAGTTTCACAAGTCACTGACACGTGTCGGCCTAACACCGAACGATCTGGCTGGCTCATTCCATACTTGCTACACCAACTCAAAGCTGTTGATTTGAGACTGTGCGAACTCAAACCAGACTCCTTTCTGTCAACTTTGAGCAAAAGGTTCAGCATGTCAGTCACTTCTTTCGACGAGACCTCTCGCTTGCACCACTCACTGCAATCAGGGTTTTTTTGGCACTGGGAGCAACGGACCATCTATGGTCCCTGTGAAGGCCAAACCCAATTCATCGAAGAGGGCTGCAGCCTCGTGGATCCATGGTCTACCATGCACACCTGTGGCGGGCACCAAGATTGGGAGCAAAACTGATTTGCTGGCTGCGCTTCTACTGGTCTTGTGCAAGCTAGTTCGAAACTCTACGAACCCTCCAAGCTTGTCGAAGTCACAAACTCCGTCCGTCAAACAAGCCAAATCACTGTGCCTGCATCTGCCGTACAAAGCCAGCAAGATGTAGCTACAGAACAGTCTATCGTAAGGATGCATGGAGTCGTCAGTCATCATCCTATGTAGCTCAACAACTTGGTTTACGGTTAAAACAGAAGCTTGCCGAAGAGTGCTCTTTCTGGACATCATCTGGTCACTTAAGCCCTTCAGTCTCTTGCTACTGATTGCTGCGTCGATGGAAAAACCAAAAACGTGCTTCATGAATCTCAAAGCTGATAATAGGGACGACCCTGTTGTGGCCGCACCTTCTTGCTTCAAGTGTTCGAAGTATTTCCACAGCCTTTTCTCGTGCCAAGGATGTTCGTCAGAACTGCAATTCTCTGCTTGCCACTTGATTAAGCTAAGGATGCTGTTTGCTCTCTTAACTATGGTAAGCGGCGACTTGACACCCAACACTGCTGATACTATTGACTTGGCCTCTTGCTGCCAGTCTGGAGTACCTTCTAGCTCTGCAATCTGTCTACCAACCTCACTGCATGTTGTATCTATCTGGATGATGCTCAGCCACTTCTCTACACCACCTTCGAAAAGAATTGTTCTCTGGTCTGTGTATGCTTCATCTCTTATCTGTCTTATTGTCTTCTCGAAACACGTCTGGCCTGTTACGAACTTGCTTGTGTGAAGCGCAGCTGACGTTCTGGTTCTTTCAAGTTCACCAAAGTTTTCAGTCAAACCTTTGCACGAAGCCAAAGAGGCCGGAAGCTTTGGCAGGCTAAACGCATTTGGATCTTCGAAGACAATCCTACCGAAATTGGTTTCCCAAGGCAACTCTATGTCACTCTGTTTGCTATGTCTAGCGAACATGCTTTCAATCATGAAACTAAAATCCGTGACTTGCGCCTGTTCGATTGGCGCTGTGGATTCCGATGACTCATGGTCCTGCTCTGAAGGCTCGAATAGTGGCAAGTCTGGCTCGTCTTTTCCAAGGCTGTTTAGGTGGTCGTGCCATGCATGCCCCACCATGCTACTGCCTGCAACTCGACTTCTAGTGTTGTGACTGGACACTGCACTTAAATCACCTAAGGCTGGCAAACTGTCGAGCTTGGCAACTGGGTCTGTGCCAACATGGTCGTTGAGATCACTAGCCAAGTCAAAGTTGCAAGGCGCAGACGAATCCTGATCGAGCTCCAAAACATGCTCTGTATTTGAAGCAACACTGGGAGTATATTCGGGGGAACTGAGTACCTCCAAAGTTTCCAAAGGCATATGAGGATTGTTGCCTTCCCTTCTATCAAGGTCAACTGGCAATGGTAACTCCGATGATCTGACATTCCTCCATGGCATCTACTACCCCCAGTTCAACAAAAATTCGTGAAACAAAACCTGAACCCTCCCACCTCAGCCCAATAACTGCGGAAGACATGACTGCATTAACTCACTAGTTTTCTCATGACATACTCGAAAACTTCTGACTCACAATTAAAGCGCTATCACTACGTGACAGCATGCATATATATATATATATAATCCCGTATAATTCCATCCACAATCATAAACACAAACACTCAGTCACAAACACTCAGTCACAAACACACAACCACAAACACACAACCACAAACACGCAACCACAAACACACACACACACAAATCACAAACACACAATCACAAACACACCACAAACACACAACCACACAAAACCACAACCACAATCACAAACACACAACCACAAAACACAACTACAAACACAAGCACAACCACAAACACAACTACAAACACACAACCACTACCACAAACACACAACCACAACACACAAAAACACAACCATAACACACAACCACAACACCTGACCTAACCACAACATAACACACAACCACAATCACAAACGCAAACACACAGCCACAATCACAACTACAAACACACAAGCACAACCACAAACACACAACCACAAACACAACCACAACTGACAGCACACAGCCACAACACGCAACCACACACGCAACCATAACACGGAACCACAACACACAACTACAACACACAACCACAACACTCAAACACAACCACAAACACACAACTACAATAATATAGTTACCTGTGTGTGTGGCGTGGCAGGTGGTCACAGGGCAGCAATTTTGAATGCCAACTACTGGAGACCCTGGCGACACCCACCCCATTGCGTTCTCAATTTATAGATTTACTACTTTTAAACAAAGTTCGTATATAATTAAGTATTATACGTATATATATATATCAATATATATATATATATCATGAATTCTATAATGAAAAAAGATTATGTGTGATTAACTAGGTAAATATAGAAAATGTATACAACATAAAATACATAATGATATATGATTATTCCTTTATAATTTTTAAGCATCGCCTCTCAAAGGACGATCTTGGAGTTGTCGCCAACGCCCGCAGTTGTCATTGGGCCGGCCAAACAACTGGCGGGCGGGGCATGGGTCGCAAAGGACATGGAGTGTTGGGCAACTAAGTCCACTCCTGAGATTGTTTGAGTATATTTATGTTGCACTCAATCAATTCGACACTTGAAGTGTTTTAAGTTTATAGCCACATAAGAACCTTATGATAAGGTTGTTAAAACCCTCCATTTGCAGCAAAGGTGTCGGGAGCACCCCGTATTCTGAGAAGTTGGTCCACGCACCACCTCCGCAGCGGACCCATTCCTGGCCCCAACGGTCGAAAGCCAGACAGCGAGAGCACGGATTCGGTCCATTCCTCGTGTGCCCAATGAGAGTGCTTGCTTTGCTCCAAGGACACTTGCTTTGCTATGCAGTGGCAGGAAGCAAACACCACAATAAGTTCTGGGAGTGGTTGCGCCTGAAGATCCTACATATTTTTGGACTGCAAACAATGCGCATATGTAAGCCAAACAAGCGTAGTGTGGAGGTTCATTCTGTTCGCACAACCCCGTAGAACAAAATGAAAAGATCAGAGAAAAACACATCATTTTGAAGAAGTAGGACACCCTTGGATAGTTGCATGAAAACAAACACTTGTATCAAAAATGCTGTACACAGTACACAGCACATGTAACAAGCGCGACACGGGACAACCATACGACAGGGTGCGACGTCCTTCAAGTCTCGGTTCTGCAAGGGCTCATTGAAGCGCTTGATCATGCTGGCACTTGCCTTCCGCAGAAAAAGTTTTCGAAGCACTTCGAGTACCAAAGTGTCTGCTTCGAAAGCGTCTGTCCCACCCTCTGTCCGAATCTTTCTCATGGCTACGCTTGCGCCTTTTCCATGCGATCTGTTGACCTTGACACCTCCTGCGGCTCATGCAACTGCGGACTTGGACAAATAACACACATGTTTATCTCCTGTGAGAATGCCAAGAATACAATGTCCATTTGCATGCCCAAAACATCCCCATCCAAATACCTCTCAAAATACTAAACTGGGCAAACATAGGTTCTGCTCTCTCAGTTGAGCGACTGTTGAAAACTGAAATTCAGATGCTACTGTCCTTTGGCAGCTGCACACAGGTCTTAGCACGCTCAATGCGCCCATGGCGTAGAAGTCTTAAGGTCTTGGCCTCCAACCAACATAGAGAAGTGAGTCAGCTAGGCTAATCCGAACCCCTGACAAAGCCACATTGATCTTTCAACAGCTTTGCAAGGTTCTCTCATTTGTAGAAAGAGAACACAGAGTGCTATGCAGTCATAAGCGTGCAAGTCCATGTGCTTTCTGCACCAGAGCCCCGTCTCAATCCTCGTACACACAGGGACGATGCTTTCAGTGCTCCACCCGTCCTCGTTGCGGATCCACAAGGCAGGCTCCGAGCACAGGGACGGACTGGACGCCACCAGGCTTGGGATGGACTTCCAATACCTAAGAGACAGCAGTCTGGACTCGACCGGTGTCCTTAAAGAAGGTCTTCGTTTCTTTCACTATCCTGGTTTTTCGACCGGTAGGGTTCACGTATGAATCAAGCTGTGCCAAGCTTTCTGGATGCTCTGAAGAATATCAAGTTGCGGAATCCCATTTGATCAAGTGTTCAGTATGGCGAGTGGGTTTTCGCATTCATACATGTATCCCCCTTGAAATACAGGGGGAGGGGTGGAGGCCCTCATTCTGTAGAGAACACCCCGTCGACTCTCTACAAAATAACTACCTCCACAAAATGACCCCCAAAAATTGGGCTCAGCCTCTCTACAAAATGACGGGCCCCGACGTCATGTTGTAGAGAATGTTCACTCTTTGTGAAACAACAATTCTCTACAAAATGAGGGCCTTGAGGTCATTGTTGTAGATGACTTTGTTTACAAAATGACTCTGTTGTAGCAACATGACTCTACAAAATGACTCTCTACAAAATGAGGTCGAAATGAAATTCGAATGTCTACAAAATGTCCCTAGTCCTTTTGGGTCGAATGAATCTAAAATCTCTACAAAATGACCCCCGACTACTCGACACTCGTGTTTACAAAATGACCCCTGACTACTGCATCTGAATAGTCTACAAAATGGTGGTGTGCCCGTCATTTTGTAGAGAAACACTTCTTGGCTCTACAAAATGGCACCTCCCGGGCCTCGACGTCATTTTGTAGAAAATGGTTCGCGTTATTGTTTCTACATAATTATATAATCGACATTAATCAAAATTTGGGATCTCCTATACTTTTCCATACGTTTCCCAAATCAAGGGAGTCATTTCCCAAAACATACTGTATGCATTTATATACACATATATGGACAGGATGATTCGACCCGAATGACCCAAAAATCTCTACAAAATGAGATCAGGTGTTTTGACAACCTTCTCTACAAAATGCTACTTCAACACTCGACTGAGATCTCTACAAAATGCATTGCGCAACAATTCTCTACAAAATGCCTTTTCCACATCTCTACAAAATGCATCAAAACGCATTCCACATCTCTACAAAATGACATCACATTCTCTACAAAATGATGTTGATTGAATGACAAACCTCTACAACATGTGTTTTCTCTCTCTCTACTGGGTGCTCATATTGTTTATTTTCTCTACAAAATGCACATGCTCAAATCAAAGACTCTCTCTACAAAGTGCCAGTAGCAGAAAATATGTTTCTACAAAATGATGGGCATTGCCCACGTCAAAAAACGTCAAACGCAATTCTCTACAAAATGCTGGGCCAGGTCTCTACGAAATGATAGGGTGTGAGGGCAGAAGAGTGTTCTCTACAAAATGACCTGCTGATTTAGGGGCCGTAAGGCCATCATTCTGTAGAGCTTATTCCAAGGGGGATACACATGTGATGTCTCATCTGACCAGTGATTGTAGGAGCCCGACATTTCTTCGAGCTTGTTGAGCTTCTCATTGGACCTCGGTCCGCATTCATTGCACATGCTGCATGCTACCAAATATGCTTGGTCCATGGCATGTCGACACCAGAGAAGATGGGCGGCGGGACAGCCTGACCCGAGTTCACTCTACGAGGTTTCAAGGAAACAAGCATGACGAACGAAACAAACCAACGGAAACGAAACAAAGCAATGCGTCTTGGAAACGGTCCCGTCGGTCCAGTACAAGAAACAAAGTCCAAAGGTCACCTTTTGTTCTCCTGTCCTCGAGTCCATGCAGGGCACACTGCAATGGAACGAACACGATCCTTGTTCTTCTGCATCGCTGAATCGGCAGTAGAAAATGTTTCTGAGACTGAGGAAGTGGCCTTGCCTCTTTTTCAAGTTTGAGCCATTCATAGCCATTCACCGTGTACGGCACAGCAAAAAACCTGGGCACTGCGGGTGAATTTTACAGTTGGTGCTATTGAAAAAGCAAGTTCGCTTAAGAAGGCTTCATCCAGGTTTTGGGGGCAAGTGTGTCTCATACATATACAGTACTGTAATCTATATTTCAGATTGAAATCATCTGGACTCTGACTTGGGCCCTCCTGCCGATGACCGCCTTTGAGCAAGCCAAGCCCTGTCATGTTGAATGTTTCAGAATCTGCACAAGCATCGGAACGAGCTTTGATGGCAAGGACTGAAAATCTGTCGGTTGATCTATGTTGGTACTCAAAGGCTTTAACTCAAACTCTTTCTCCTCTAAGAATTCACTCTTCCTCAGCACAGCTTGCCATGGCCAGCTCAGCTGATGTTTCTATATAGCCCGCCTACACTCTTTCTCCTCTTAGTAAAAAATGGTTGCGAATATATTTCTGTTTTTTTTCGTTTTTTTTTTTTTGGATTTTTTTTGTTTTTCGTGTTTCGTGGCAGGTGCAGTACTTTGTGGACCTTGCAAAGCACATTTCGTGGCAGGTGCAGGACTTTGTGGGCCTTGGAGTGCAGAGTTTGTGGCAGGCGCAGGACTTTTTGTGGGCCTTGAAGTGCAGATTTCGTGGCAGGTGTAGTACTTTGTGGCCCTTGGAGTGCAGATTTTGTGGCAGGCGCAGGACTTTGTGGACCTTGAAGTGCAGATTTCGTGGCAGATGCAGGACTTTGTGGGTGTGGAAGTGTAGAGTCGAGTTGGTGGCAGGTGCAGGACTTTGTGGGCGTTGGAGTGCAGATTTCGTGGCAGGCGCAAGACTTTGTGGACCTTGAAGTGCAGATTCGTGGCAGGTGCAGTACTTTGTGGATGTTGAACTGCAGAAAGATAGAAAGATAGAAAGATAAATTGATAGATAGATAGATAGAATAGATTAGATTAGATTAGATTAGATTTAGATAAGATAAGATAGAGAGATAGATAGAGGAGGCATCTTTGCTTGGTTAGAAAGTTTTGCACCGGGGAGTTCACCTTAAAATATTGATTTCGTGGCAGGCGCGGGTGTCGGGGATGAAATGTAGATTGAAAGTCACCAAAGCCAAAAGCCACAGAAACCACGAAAACCAAAAGCCACAAAAGCCACAGAAGCCACGAAAGCCACGAAAGCCAAAAGCCACAGAAGCATCGACACCACGCTTGTCTCTCCACTCACAGCACAAGCCCAACCCGTCGCCACCAACGACACACAGCTGGAGCCGCAATGCGCCTGGCACGGCTCGCAAAAGAAAGGACCTACCCGGAGCGGCCCGGGGCTGGTGGGAGGAGGACGTGCCCGCCTCGTCATGGTCCCCTTGGAGATCGAGGGTCACTGGAGCACGGAAGCAGCCACTCCTCTTCGTTTGTTGTCCA